TGTAGAAGTTAGATAAACTCGGCACATATGGCGGGCGCTTGTATGGAAAGGCACCATAAGGATGAGCGCGATATGGAACACCAGCAGAATAAAAGCGCAAATACTGATCATTATACTCATAATCCTGAGAGAACATCAGCCATCCCTCCCAGTCGTAGCAGCACACCTGTCCAGCGCCTGTCCATCTTCAAGAAAATTACTTAATGCAGCGGTGGTTGTGATATATTAATTGTACTTACACGTTTTTTGTTGATACGACGCAATGCTGAGCTCCTTGAGTGTAGTAACAGCGATGATCACCGTTAATATCGCAATCCATCAAAGCGACAAACCGTCCAACGTCCAATAGCGCCTGGTCCAAAGTACAGGGGCAAGGATTTTCATTCTCCAGAAACATGTAGAAATTCTCGCGTCTACCGTCATAATCGAACCAATTGATGCACATGTCAGTCGCCCAATTTGAACCCATTTGATACTGCCACACGTCTCGGAAATACCAGCCAAAAGGAACCATGTCTGACCAGTAAATTCTGAAAATAATATTTAGAAGTTTCACTTTTTCAACCACCCGTTACCCGTCGCCTTTATCTCTCATCCAGTCTTGACTGACTCTGATCTGAATCAGACCGCCAGCGTATTTAGTCCAGGCGTCTCGAAGCATGTCTGACTTTGACAACGTTCGAGGATTAAATGAAAAGATGCCTCGATTGGTCGTAGAGCGCGCAATAGAACCGATCTTCAGCAAAATTTATTAGCTGCTTTATAAACGAACAACGTGTAAACCATACCTCTTCAAAACTATGACCCTGAACGTCCTCCCAGTATCCCCAAAGTGTTATGTCTACTGGCTGATTGGGATTCACCGATATGTTTACAGCCGGCCAAGTCAGGGTTAAGTTATCAGGGTTGAAACTACGCCAGTTGTTAGTCGGTACGGCGGGGTCGTTAATTAGGTTCACTTGGCGTCTGGCCAACGAAGGCATGACTAAAATTAAAATGACTCATAAAAACTCGATGTAATGCATAATTTATTTTCATGATTAAATATTCTTATCTTCAACGCAACATTTCATAAGGAAAAATTACGTTGCTTTTGCTTTTACTCAAATTACTAGCTTTTCGATTCGGTTTTTTCTAGCAACAAAGTTAAGTGCCTCCGCGAGCGCCTCTATTGGTTGTTGAGAATGAGAGTGCCAGCAAACATGTGGGTTCAATGCAAAATAAACGGCCCACAAAAGTGACGATAGTGCCGCTGGCTAGGATGAATAAACAGCTGCAAAAACTGATGACGACACTGCTACGTGACGACTGCACGTTTGCACTGCTACCAGGGAAGTCGCAGTTGATCCTGCCTACTGTCAAGCGATATCTCTAGCATGCAGTCGACGGTCATTATCGGCCCACTGTTGTTCTGGCATATTCGCTAAGTAGCTTATTTTGGAAGGCGACATAGTAATTCAATAATGGATTATATCTTACGATTCATGGATTTTCTTGAAAAGCCGCATGAGAGATATATTTTCTTATTTTATGTTAGGCTTACTATACCATGTTCCGGTTTACATACTGTTTCTAACATATGACTGATACCCAATATATCGATATTTCTGCCTTTTATCAGGAAATAAATGAACAAGATCATTAGGCTATGTTGTTCGAGCCGCAAACTTTGAACAGTGAACATTTTAGGTTCATATCCAAAAAGTTAAAAACTTCCCTTGGACCAACTTCATTAGCCAGAGGAACATGGTTTTGCGAAAGTGGCCTATTTAAGATTAAGGGAACAGAACAGCAGGAGTATGTCTTTTATGCACAGGATACTTTCGATCGCTCTAATCTAACAAATGCCATTTTCTGCAAGTCCCTTACGGAA